AGACCTCTTCTCAGGACTATGAGGACGAGTACAGACTGATTGATTGACATCATCTTCATCCTCCTGTTTGTTATGTTGCACCTGGTATTGTTGGAGTGTGATGGGCTCACATAAATTCCATCACTGTGCCACTTAACTTCAATCTCAGCAGAGCTCTATTAAGCCAGAATACTGAAAATAGCTGCGTGGTATGAAAAGCTTTAATGTAAAGGTTGTCTAAAAGCAAACATTGTTTATATTTTCTGTCGCTTACTAGCCATACAGTGGTGTAATCACCAGCGTGCACGACTCTGTACTGTATAAATGTGCCAAGGTCCGGTTTCTATAAAGGTCCAGTGTGTAACATTTAGGATGACCTATTGGCAGAAATATTCAAAGGGATGTTTTCATTAGTGTATAATCACCTTAATATAGGAATGGTTATGTTTTTGTTACCTTAGAATGAGCTGTTTATATCTACAGATGCCGGTTGCCTTCCACTGACTCCGCCATGTTGAAGCATCATGTTTCTACAGTCGCCCAGAATGGACAAACCAAACACTGGCTCTAGATAGGGTGAACTGACAGAGTTGCAATCTGCACCTACACTGCTATCTCCACTGTGAAAACATCACCAGATCCCATAAACAACAGGTTTTAATTGAACAAATCCAGCTGTTCTCTCTTGCTGTCATCTTTACGTCTAATTCTCAGTGACAGCATTTTGTTGTCGTCTCCTTCCACAGTGCAGATGTGGCTAATCCTCCACTGGGCCCACTAGAGACTGGCATTAGCTTTGCGACATTTGGCATCCAGGAGAGAGCTTCTCTCAGTGTAAATCCCTGACAGATTATCTTTCTCTCTTTTAACGCCCCATCCCCATTTTTCTCCCTCTGCTCTGTCTGCCTTTGATTCATTTCACAGAGTATATTATACACCGAGATGTCAAAACATCATCAATATGAAAGAGTCTTGAGAGGACTCTCTGTGTTTGGATTCTAACTCTTTTTTTGAGATGGAGGATTTCTTTCCAGTTGAGTAGAATTGATTTAGCTGATTCTACACTGATGAGTTGTGAGGTTTGAGGTATGCATATTTTGAACCCAGTGAAAATGTAGTAGACCATATCTCTGAACAGCCGTTCATTCACATGGTTTAACTCTCTATGTTTATGCTGTATGTTTATACAGTCACTCTTAAAAGCTCTTTTGCCACATTTGCATTTGTACCGCAGCATGTCCCCTATTGCAGTATAAGAAATAAAAATGAGTCAGTACTCATGTTTATCATAAGGTAACTGATGTTATTGTTAGAACTGAACAATTTGAGGAACATCTTTATCACCAGTATTTAGATTATGATTGAAATTTAAATTGTTTTCAATTACATTTTATTTGTATAGTGACAATTGATCACAGAAGGTACCTCAGGACACTTTTCAAACAGAGCAGGTATAAAATTAAACTACAAATACTGTTGTTTCTAATTCAAACTACCGTATTTGTGTCTACATAGTATTTAAGGACCAGTGTGTAGGATTCAGCCAGTGAAATGCAGATTGCAACCAGCTGAATACAGCTCAGCCTTCCAAGTGTGTAGGAGAAACTACAGTGGTGCAAAAAGCCCCATCTAGAGTCAGTGTTTGGTTTGTCCATTCTGGGCTATTATAGAAACATGCTGGTTCAACATGGCGGACTCCGCTGGAGATAAATAAGTATGGAGAGAATTTTGTTCCCTTATTATTCAATCAAATAGAATAGATTTGAAACCAAAAAAGAGATTTGAGAGCAAAAATGAGTAAATGGCAATAAATTTTTTTTTAACAAATTCACGCACATATTTCTAACCAGCTAGCATTACTGATCTATACAGGAGCAGCTGCGTCAGACGGTCCGACTTAAATGACACTGAAAGATGCTTTTGACCTCAGAGATGTAGAATGTGCAGGCTAGGTTTCTAGAAGAGAAACGTAAATTTCAGCACCACTGATCTGTATAATCAGACCAAAAGACATGTCCTGTGATTTTAATTATTCGCCACGTGTGTTTGTTGACATTAGAACAGCTGTAGAGAACGGGAGCCGGGAGGAGTAGCGGCAGCCCGCTACACAGTGGAAACTGGCACGGCGTTCAGCGGTAGTTTAATAATCCATAGTAGTACTGTTGTGTAGGAACCGTGACGTTTTGGCACCGCGAGTACCATGCAACACGAAATGTTTCAATCACAGCCCTACGTTGTATACGCCTCCCTGTAATTCACTCACTCATTAGGCCACTCTGCTCAGGCCGTGACTAGCAGAGACAACCATGTTGCTGCTAATCAGTGTGCTTGCAGCAGCAGGGCATTATAATTCATTATTTGTGTTGTTGTTGTTGTTGTTGTGAATGTACGGCAGGCTGTAGCCAACGATATACAGCGCAATTCATTACTTATGGGAAACGTTTCAAGAGCAACAGGCTACCTCCAAGCAGCACAGCACAAGGGAGAAGTGGGTGTAATGCGGAAGACATAGCCAGGTCCAACCAACCAATAGAAACTCTTCTCTCATCCACCAGCGTAGGCCCCGCCCATCAAGTGCATGTTTTTACTTACAAACATAAGTTTGGATTGAAGTTGAAGAAATATGTTCTCTCATATTTTTTTTCAATTGCAACCTGTTCTGTTTCGATCTCCCCAAAAATTTTTTTGATTGCCACTTACTCATTTTTGCTCTCAAATCTCTTTTTTGGTTTCAAATCTATTCTATTTGATTGAATACTAAAGGAACAAAATTCTCTCCATAAATAAATGCATCCTCTAATTTTAAGGTAACAAGTACACAATGATTGCCTTTTTCATGTGATTTATACACGAATGAAAACATATCTATGAATATTATATTTAATTTCTACCAATAGACACTCTAAATGTTGTCACACTGGACCTTTCAAAGGAAATAAGTCTGAACCAAGCATTTTCACAAATGAATTTAGCTAGATTTCTACAGAAAAATTGTTCAATTTATTCCAATTTTACTAGGATATTAGATTAGTGGTATAATCAACGTCATGCAAAACTATTCAGTTCTAATCAGGACATTGAAAAGTTGCATATTTACTGATAAGGATGCATAATTGTCCGCTTGTGGTATTCGTGTATTTGCTAAATCACATTTGACAAAGTTTTAACATCAGACTGACTCCTAATGATCCTGTTTTCTGCTCTGTACTGTTGCTGCGTGAGCCAAAGTAGCGTTATAAGCTCACTGGCGGAGCAGCAGCTTCAGTCCTCCACAAGATGCATTCAGGCACAGTATTGAGGGTAGGTCAGTTACGCACGTTAAATAGAAAAGAATGGACTTGAAGCGTAACAAATGGGGTTTAAAGGTTCAGATTTGGGATGCCCTGATAGCTCGCCTGGTGGAGCTGGCCCCCCCTGTGCCAAGGCTGAGCTGACCTGTGGCCCTTTGCTGCGTGTCATCGCCTCTCTCTCTCTCTACCCCCTTTCCAGTCTATCTACGGCTGTCTTATCTAATAAAGGCAAAAGTTTTACAAAAATAAGTCCTTACTGCAGTGGCCCAGGTTCAATTCCAACCTACGGCCCTTTGCTGAATGTTGTCTCTCTCTCTCCCCCCTTTCCTAACTATCTTCATCTGTTCTATCAAGTAAAAATAAAAATAAAAATGTATATAATATTGATAATGTTCAGATTTAGGACTTTTCAGATGATGAAAGCATTGGCATAAAACAAGATATCATGTGCTTAAAGGTTTAACAGAAATTGCTACAACTGCTACAACAACTACTGAGCTACAAGTTTGAGGCAATCACCAGGAAAAAGACTGGCCACTGTGCCGGTGTTTTCCAACAGCAGAAAGATACAGCCCACTCCTTCTAATCTCAAACATCAAAAAGGTTACAGACTGGTATTTCTTTTTTTAAGAAACCATCTTTGGCTGATTGTACATAATACAGATATCGGCTGGAGAAAGTGAGCATATTAACCAGACAACAGCAAAGAGTTTCTTTATTTTTTTCTCTCAAACTAACACATTTTCATTTACCAGCAACAGTTGTCCCTGTAGCTGATGAAACCAACAGCCGCCGATTAAACTATCATTTGTCATAACTTATTGCTAATCATGTAATCATGGGATTTAAAAATTTAGAGTTTGAATGTAAAAATGTTCGCTCAACCCTACTGATGGTTGAACATTTCTGCAGTTAAAACAACCTGTCTGCATGCCCACTCAGGCATCGGTATTCATTCCACTTTTTCGTGTTGAAACTCTCATGTTGTAATCTTTGTCCAGTGTCAAAAAAATAAATCAAACTGCAGTGGTCATTAAACAGAGCCAGATCACAACATTAACTTTCACTCTCAAATAGATCAAAAAGGGCATCATAAAGTGTATAAAAAAGGTATTAAAAAACTTTTCTTGAAGAAAGACTTGGCCACGTAAGCACGAAGGACAACTAATGATGGCTCTCGTTAATTTTTATTTTGCACCAAAAACGGTAATACTTTCTAAAATCCCAGAAGGTGCCAAGTTAAAATTCAGATCAGAGTCTGAGCACTCACGCTGCGGTCGATGGGTCAGAGCAGGTGCCAAGCCCAAATAAAATTTTGCCGTGCAGATCAGAGACAGCATCTTATTGATCCTTTTATCTGCTATGTGATCCTCCATAATCATTTTAAACTCGCAGAGAAAGCAACTTTCTTGTCATATGGCTGACTGTTTAAATGACAGCTTAACAGTTTTTCAATTGGCAGTCTAATCAGCACCCGTTATTTAACAAAACTATAAACATAATTAACTTTAACCTTAAAATTCTCGTTTTTCTCTCTGCATACTAATTATTCTCTCACCCTTAAGAACCACGGTAAAAGGAATTCAGGAAATGCGATAGCAGGGACACAGAAACAAGCAAATTAACAGACAAAGGAACAATAAGTAAACTCATATCACAGTTCTCAGGAAGGGAGGTTGACACAAGGAAATATATGATTAACTTAAATGACTTAAACCCCTGTCACTTTAGGTGTATCGAGGACTACAAGCGGGGTCCAGATGGGAGGTCATGCCTGCCGCTGTCCGAGGCCTGCATCGAGGGAATAGACTGTGTGGAAACGGTGGACATCCCCGCTAACCAGACTGTGTTCGGAGACCTCTTCTACGGATACAACAACCACACCAGAGAGAGCACCTCCGGACAGATCCTCAAGGCCACGTTCAGGTAAACACACAAGCTGTTTCTAAAGCGGAGCATGTGGAACATTGTTGTGCCATTTGTATCTCAGCAGGGAAAACTGTTTGGCAGGGTTTGGGCTCCCACTGTGGTGATATCCATGATAGTTTCAGGTCCTCAACTGCTTTTGGTGAAATAGTCTCAAGTGGCAGCTGTTTTTTTTATTCTACATTAGATGTGTTGATGTGGATTAAGATATAAGGATAGGTAGATATGAACCTCATTCACACCTGGAATTAACATGCAATCTGTGTATGAAACTTAGCTCTAGATAAGGAGAAACATGCAAATTCAGTCTACCAGCTCCACCTGCTGAGTTTGCATGTCGAAATTCGATGACAGGCTGAGTCACAATAACAAGCAAGCTGATTAATAACACTAGGGTATGTGCAAGTCTTGAAAAATCTTAAAGCACTGAATTTATTTCACTCAAAAAAGAAAGTTAGAAAGTATTAAATTTAACAGGCAAAAGTCTCAAATCTCTTAAAGCTCTTGCCTGCCATAAGCAGTAATGTTAGTTTAGCTTCTGTATCAATGTTCAGGCCTTTGGGAGATGTTAAACACCTATACACCTATACCTACATAAAGTAGGATAGTTGTGACATTGCATATTGTGCTTTGGAAGCTGTTTTCATTTTTTTGCATTAGTTTTTTTGTTTCAGTTAGCATACAGTGGCTAGAAATCTCCCTGTTTCACAACGGGCAAGTGTTGTGTAAAAACAGAATGGGTTAATATATTCATCTAGTTCTTGCCCCTTATATTAAGTAATTGTATCATGGGATACACTGGGAAGTAGCAATAAAAAGTTTATAATAGAAAAAAATTGTAGGCAATATGTTCCCTACTGGTTTTCCATCACACTTTCATACTTTGACCAGTATGACTTTGAAACAGATGTTAATTTGGATTCTGTGTGGTATTAAAAAGTCTTAAAGCCCATGGAGACTGTAAATATTTCAATAGTCCGTTTCCTGTCAGAAATGGCTGCAAAGTAAAGCAATAAAAATATTTTAGATATTGTATACACTTAAACTGATTTTTTGGGGTCTTTTTTTAGGTGGCTAAAATATATTTTGCTACTGCCTGGCCTATAGTGTCTTGAAAAACAGCAACCCACCCACAGTATTTTTAGTTTTTCAAGCCACATTTCCAGAAACTTTAAATCCAACTTGGTCGAGATTCAGGGTTCCCCATGTGTGAATAAAGGCTCGTGTTCAGATGTTATCCAAATGACTAATTGGAATGAAAATTGCATGTTAACACCAGCTGTAAATGGTACAAAGACAGTCTTCACGTCTGATCCTTAAATCCACTCTAAGAAAGGACCACCACAAATTTATCAGCACAGCCAGAAGGATGTCCTTAATATTAGGGTAGAATATCGGACATTTTAATCCGATTGTGTTATTAAATGCCAGGAATTCTCTCAAAAATCGAAATCCTTTTGCTCTGAAAAAGTACATTCAGAGGGCGCAAGCTGTCAATGAAGTTGGCTTAATCACACATTGGCACGTCCATCCCCAAATCACAGCGCAGACGTGTGTTCAACAGGTAGAATATTGTTCATACGATCGCCCCTACCGTTACAGCTGAACTTCCAACAACATTGCTGCTGTGCCTCCAACCAAAAGACATTTTCCATTGCTGCCTCGACACACAGTGATGACCTCAGGTCAGCGCAACAAATATGGTCATAAGGTCACATAAATAAATATATATATATATATATATATATATATATATATATATATATATATATATATATATATTATTTTATTATTTTTTTCTTTCCAGGAATTAAAAGTCATGGGAAAACATTGAACACTACTTTATATACAGAGTCGCATAGAACATTCAAATAACGTCAATGTTCTTTGATACGGTAAAGGGAGATCGTATGAATTAACACTTTCTATATTCCCTATTTATCAAGAGAGTTACTACAAATATGAGAGGGGAATATCCAGAGGGGAAGATTATAAACAAAGAAGCACACGTGAATTACATGTTGCTTGTGTAAGATATACTTATTGAAAAGCTAGCTCACAAGCAATAAGGTATTCATTTAAATGACTTCCACTGAGAGACCAGTTGTCTCCTATTTCCTTTCCCCCCAGACAGTTACGGTGCTTTCAGTTGTTCCCAAACCCCCTATACAGCAATGGTTATTGTTGATAGTGGTGTTAGTTTCCTGAGCGCACTCTCAGGTTGGTGTATGGTTTAAATCACCCAATGGTAAAATGGATGATTATAGTACATAAATATTCAGGACGTATATGTGTCTCCACAGGTCGTAAACACATATCAGATACAATCAATATATTTAAAGCTCATTTCATTATGGGGCAAGGAGTTTCAGGTAGATTTTATGTCAGTTCCATCCCAATAAAAAAAGATAGGCGTGATAGTAAAGCCTGCCACTGTCAGGGATTGTCCTCTATAAAACACAAGACATATCTTCTAATCTCAGGCAAATACTCTGAAGAGAAATACTGAAAAAAAAGAACCCATCCCCTCTTTGGAGAGTCTTAAGGAGATTAAGCCACACAGGTCCAAAGAGATGTCGTGTTCCTTTCATGATTTGCACAGGGTTTGTGGATAGCAGGGTACTTTGAAGGTGGTTAATTATCACTCTCCGCATTCTGCAATCATTTCCACTGAACTCCGGAAGCCAGAAGGTCAGCAAAGTCATCTGCGGCACAAGAATTTAATTTGGGCCGTGCATGGATTCCGTCGCCCGGAGGCAACTCCCCACTTAGGGATCCACCACTGGAGTTGTGGTGAGGGGGGAGGGTCGGGTGAAGCAGCAAAGTTAATATCACGAAGAATCTAAACCTCAAATGCTCTGATCTCATTTGAAAGTGCTTGTGAATGGAGAGCGGGGTCTGAGGCAGACTTTGAAGAGTACCAAATGCTTCCTGTGCAGATGAGGTGGTGGAAGAGGAAGGGAGACTCTTTTGGGAGGCATGGTTAATGCAAGGCGTAATTATAAGAGATGGCAGCAAATGAATTAAAACTGACCAGAAGCCAGTGTGCTGTTATCAAATCTAATTGGACCAGATGAACGTTTGAATGTAATGAACAAAAGTTACGGGAAGAGAGCATCACTATTGAACACAGAATAGCCGTTGGGGGTTTCAATCTAGAGAGAGCTTTCCAAACCAAAAATAAAACTGTAGACACAGTTTGTTACATGTGTACAGGCAGCTTCTGGCAATACAGTACAAGCCTTTTTACGTGGTGGTAAATCTGTCCCCAAGGAAACTAAATGTCAAATTTAATGTTGCACAGCAAGAATAACTGTACTGCTGGTCAGTATCAAATGAGTGCTTAGACAGCTCAATTTAAAATTAACTTCATATTGCATTTCTGTATTTCAAATTTTCTGCTGTAGGAAAAAGTCCTGATTAGTCTCTCCAGTATGTTGCAATAATATAGAAAATGATACGTATTCAATGGAGTAACCTTTTATGTCTATGTCTATGTCTTCTGTGGCTCAAGACATAGAAAATCATTCAAGATACATCACTTGAGTAATCTCTGGGAAAGTTTCAACAGAAAGCCTACATTACAAACTCGACACAGACATTTACCAAGCTGTGTTAAATAACTTCCAGTTTACAATCAATGGAATTAGCACATTTGGAGTTGATTGGTGGTGTTGATGAAGGGATACTTGAGTTCATCTGACAGGACTGTGGGGGGTATGTCTGGAAAAAAGGTTGGGAAACACTGGGCTAGATTGTTGAGTCTGTGGGTTGTTAGGTGGTGTTGGAGAGTCATTTGTCTTTTCCCTCACAAATAATCTTTGGCGGGTACAGATGTCATCTTGTGGATAGCCCATTGACCAGGCAACTGCCAAGTTACTCACAGAATTAATGTTAATCAGCCACAGCTCATAATCTGATGCCAGTGATGTACATTGCTCTAAAAAGAGTTTGACAAGAGATTTGTCAGTGCCAGTGAAAATGGGGTGTTTTGTAAAATGGAACCAGCTATCTACCCTAATTATGGGAAATGTATGATCCAGAGTTTTTGGAGCTTAACTAGAAACTACAGTAGGGACTAAAAGTCCGGACATCCAGCTTCTGCTACATCGACTCCAACCTTCTTTTTTTTTTGTCTCTTGCTAGACCCATCAACTAAATTGCCGGAGTACTCTTCAAATATTAAAAAACAGCAGGAGGAAAGAGTGTTCCTTCCCTTTCAAACGCAGTGCTGTACAGCTGACTTATTAACTTAAATGTAATTCTTCTTTTGGGAAGTCTCTGAGGCTTTGAAGATGCTGTCCTAAACACTGGAGTGTCTGAATCTTTTCATCGCTCCCATTCCCTCCACTCCCACTAGACAGTAACACTGAGGACCAAGCAGTGTGCACTCAACTGTCATGTGTTACTGTAGTTTCTGTGTTACCTCTAGTCGAGGCTTGCAGAGTAGTGATGTGCAGCCTTCAACAGTCATTGACTCAGTGTTAACTAAAATATGCCAGTGAAACAGCGCCGTGGCTCTCGTCCTACCACATCCTTATTAGATGTACCGTTTTTGAGAGAAGGCAAGCGAGAGAGGGAGAGCCAGAGGGAGGGATAGTAAGGAATCATTTATATGATGTTTACTGGCACTTTTACAAAAGCCCCTGCCCCGCTGCACAGGAGCAGCACAAAGCATCTGCCTCCATCATTCAGTGATGATGAAAACTTAGATTTGAATATTGTGTAATCACCAGCAGAGGTTTGTTGTTTTGGGGTTTTTTCCTTGTTCCAAACAAATAGCATCATGTTTGCTTTTTGAATTTTCTTTCCCTCCAGCCGCAATAGCACCACTACGTAGTATTTGTTTCTTTTCTCCTGTTAAACATACACTTTACTACTTCTTTTATTCTCTTGACCCTACTACCTCATGCAAAATCCCCTCCTCATCCACAGAAAATCGAGAAAATTCTAAACAATGCCTCCAAGTGAAAGTTTCGAATGTTAATGTTTTATTTATTTGGGAGGTAAAGGAGACCTGCATTGGGGAAAAAAATGGGATTTTCACCAGATTGTCTTGGAACAACAACAGAAAGAGGGAGAATAAAAAGCAGCAAGTGGTGTGAGCAGGTGCCCAGCGGCATAAATACAGACATGCAAACACAGCCATGGCACTCACGTATGCAGACATATGAGTAGGTGTGCGGACTCCCCATCTACTGGACAGGCAAGCCGTTTCAGATAGGTCTCGTGAGAGCATCATCACACACACACACACACACACACACACACACACACACACACACACACACACACACACACACACACACACACACACACACACACACTGGCTTGATTCCCTCCACCCAGCATGGCACCATCATGGTTCATCTGTCAAGCTCAGCAGCCCTGAAATGCTTCTCATGTTTTTCGGAAAAGGGAAGTGCACCCTGCCCTCCCCGCACAGAAAGCTTCCCCTCCTGCTTCACACGTAGACTGGTCACCATTTAAAAAAAAAAAAAAAAAAAATGCAAGGCTTATTTATTTAAATTCCTGGTAGGTAAAATCCTGTCGTATCATCGGCAGCAGACAGGCGGGGCACGGGATGATTTTGCTTACGAAGCAACATGACATATGAGGATGGCAGTCCTATCGGAGGGCACGATATGATCTGGTTTCATATTACAGGGCTCAGTGACAGGGTCTCTATCTTCCTGTCTCTGTGGGAGCCAGTGGACTCCAGTAATGAGATGTTAAAAAGCTAACCTCCTCTCATTACTCCTAACTCCCCTCCCTTCCTCTCTCACTCGACAAGCTCATAGAAGGTTTTAATGAATATTTTAGTGCCCTTTGTTCTCATTCTGGTGGCTTGGTTGGGATCAATGATTAAGACCACGCTCCCACCTGACAACCCCCCCCCTTACCCACCACCATCCAAACTACTTTACCCGGGCATCTTTCTTTTTTATCTTCTTACTCCTTTTTTTAGCCCACCTCAGCTGACCCCCCTCAAGAGGAATGCGTTCATTGACTCAGTTAATTAAAATATGAAATGTGTCTGAGAGGGTGGGGTGTGAACGCGTCGTTGGTGGCCCTGATTTATTCTATTTTAAAGCTGTGAGTTTATTCTTTCACATAGTCGGAGGGGGGGATCATCCCGAGGAAAGCAGAAAAAAAGTGAAAGGGTCGTTAATCAAAAGTGTCCTTGTGTTTTGTCATGTTTCAATAATTTATCAAACCTGCGCCTGCCTCACCACAGCTACTAAAAGACAAAAAGGCTAAGTAAGTTTTGGCAGACTTCTAAAAAAATGTTAATGCCATCCTTATAGTGCCAGCTGGCTGTTGAATGTCATCATCATCATCCATCGCAATTAACAATGGCGATTGTCAGGCACGAAAGCAGCAATATAGGAACTTTCATTCCACATAGCATGCATCTAAGAGAGGGAAAAATCATCACGGTCTTCAGCAAAACAAAAAGATTCATTACATCTCCAATTAGTGCGCTTTGTTAAACTAACAGCTAAAAACATGCGTGATTGCTTTCAGCGGAAACTGAAAATGTTTGACTCCAGTGTCAATGAAATCCCAGCCAACCTTGTTCTTCCTCAGTCTGCGGCACAAATCTAGCAACAAGCAAATACCCAGTTCAAGTTGATGATACATACAGAGTCTGTAACAGAGCGGTGACACTGTATATAGGGATTATTCCACTCCAGAGGCTTATGATGCATGAAGAAGTGTCTTCTCAATTTCCGTGCCTTACCACCCACCCACCCACATCAGCAGATAGGCTTTGTTTCACATCACCAGCAGCTAACTCTACATTGTTTTTATGAGCCTGATTTCCTTCTAATTACTGTCACACCCCTGGCCACGCCATGCAAATAAAATGTAATCTGTATAGTGGTATTTGACGCTGCTTCTATTCCAGCCAGTGGCTTCTGTTGTTCTCAAACTGTGACTTTCCCAAAGGCAATAGTTTGTGAGTTGTAAATATTTGTGTATCTTTTTTTTTTTCTTTTCTCACAGCTCAGGCCCAGAACACTGCATGAATCAAACATTATGCTCGTTATATATTAACAGGAAAAGTGTCGGCAGTGTGCGCCACAAGGATCTTTTTATCTGTTTAATGGCTGACGCTATGTATGTTTTAAAGCTGCAAGGCTTTTATCACAGATTTTTAATAGAAATACACTTGTCTTAAAAGGGACTGCAACTGAGAAGAACATCCATTTAGGCTAATTGAGATTCTCTAGATCCTATTTGCTTAATTTAATAACTGGTGTCAGATATGGTTACTGGCGGGAAATATTCTCAGCATACAGGAAGGGGTCATTTGAAATTCGAGAGTAAAACAGACAGCAGCAAGCGAGTCGTTCATCCAGAGATGTTTAGACTGACAGCATGTTCTTTGCTTCTATCGTCTCACTGGTGGTACAGAGCCTTACAGAGCAGCTGTGTTTGTAACCTTAGCATACTGGATGCAGTTTACTGTTAAAGGATAATTCTAGGTTAGTAATAACATGGTCTTGCGTTCATAACTTTGGCTATCAATAAAAATAACCGAGTATGTTGCTGAAATGTTGAGGGCAGTGGATCAGACAGGTTTAAGGGGCAAAAAAAGAAAAACCCATCTGAACCCACTTTGAGGAGAACGGTTAAAATAATTACCCAAACTGCACACTGTATGCAACAGTGACCAAATAGCAGACTGACAAAGTTAACAACTAGCTGCTGAACATAATGAAGTATCTAGCTCTAGGGTAGGTGGAGACCAGTTGCAGATTGCAACTAAGTGAACACTGCTTGTTTCTGTATTTGACAACCTGGGAATGAGAACAGGCTGTGAAGTGTGTTGGAGAAACTATGGTGAAATAGTGAAATTCGCCAAAAAGTCCCCTATCTACAGCCAGCATTTGGTTTGTCCTTTCTGGGGTACTGTAGAAACACGATGGGTTTAATATGGCGGACTCCATGGAAGGCGACCCATGTCATGTTTGGATTAAAACAGCTCATACTAAGGCAATGAAAACACAATTTCTATGTGATTATATAGTACTGATAACATACTAATGAACATTATATTCTATTTCTGTCAGTAGGTCTTCCTAAATGTTACACACTGGACCTTTACGAAAAATACGAGTGTGGAGTAAAAGAGCGCTATGGATTGTTACATGAGTAACATAAAGATATGTTCTCATCAGCTGTTGCACCCAGACACCTGAATGACATAAGTTCCTGATTTATTGAATTCATTCTGTTGTGGAACCTTGTTGTGACCCTAACTGGCATTGAGACAAAGAATGATGAAGTGTACAAAATGAGCGAGTTCAACCAAGAGTCACTCGCAGCAGCAGACAAATGAGGACATCAGCTCTGAGACTGAGTCACGTTGCAGCAGAACAATCAACATAATGAAAAATGACGGGCTTTATGTGAGACTTTGGCTCTTCAATACACTCCACAGTCCTGCATAATTGTTACTATGTATTGACTTCCCCTTAATGATGTGCCAGAAAGTATGCCTTTACAGTTTGCCACTTATGAGAAGCACACTTATTTATCCATCTTTGATCTACTCTGTCCCTCCCGCCTTCATTCATCCTTTTTATTCATTTTCTTCTGACTCCTTTGCTTTTGTCTGTGACCACAGCGTTAAATGAAGATTGTCATTCTGAAACGATTTTTTTTGGAGAAAAGATGTTACTGTATAGTCATAAAACAAAATGCTACAGGCAACTACATCAGAATCAACATGCATTTACAAATATATATATCAGTGATTTTGTCAGTAGAAGCAAAGTTCCTGCTATTCATGGGATCATCAATCCAGACGTATTTAATTATTTGGTCATACAACCTGTTCTTTTTGCAACTTGTTTTATTTGTTTTTTTGGTTTTTGTGGTTATGGAAACCAGGGGCATGAACCACTTTGCAGGTTCATGAGTAAATCACTATGTACACACAAAGAGAAATATGCATATACACTCTTTGTTTACAATAGAGTGTGTGTGTCTGTCTGTGTGTGTGTGTGTGTGTGTGTGTGTGTGTGTGTGTGTGTATGGGTATATAGAGATTTTGTGACAATATGTATAGCACTCTACTGAAACAGTTTACAAAGTGAAAGTAAAAAATAAAATGTCAACATGATAACAACATAAGAACAATACACAATGAAATTAATTAAATTAGAACTGTGCCTGAGGTGCACACATTCCAATGTCACATTGGTTGGAATTATTGGTATATGCCTGGTGTTTGTACATGGCCTAAGGTAAGAAATCAGTTTTCAGACCCATGACTGCCCTGAATTGGTAATTTAAAGCATGAATTTTTATATTAGAGCTACTCCTGGTGCAGTAGGTGTTCAGAATCTTCATGTTGTCAGTGGAGCAGAATCTTGGGAAAATATATTATTTTGTCCTTGCTTTATTATTATTTACACTGGAAGAACTTGGGTACTTGGCTCGAGCACAACATAAGCTGTTAATTTTGACCTTTTATCCCCCCCACCTTCATGGTGTGTATACTGCTTTTTACCTCCCTCATCATTGTACCTCCTTATTTCCCTTTATTTAACCTACACACCTCTTTGCTTCTCATTTTCTCGTATCCCTGTGTTGGATGACTGAGTGCTTCTGTCTCTAATGGAACCTCCCATGTTCTCGTCTCTCTGAAAACCAGGCAGAAGAACTTTGCCCGAGGCATCGAGCAGCAGCTCCCAGATGGCATGGTGGTGGCATCGGTGCCAACAGAGGTTCAGTGCCACGAGGAGCTGTCGGACCCCGTGCCCGACCCAGAATACCTCACAGGTATGAAACCATATTTCATGGTTCACTCCGCTAGCTCACAGCTGTGCGATAGTACTTCATCACTGGCCTGTCGGAAATCCTCATTACTCAAAAAAAAAAAGAAAAATCAACTTCTCAGGGCCTGATAACCAATGTGGAATGCTGAGTGGGTAGCCCAAGGTGTTTGAGTATACATTCTGACATTTTAGTCATCATTTATAATGTTTGGGCAGTCTGCCATGGTCAGGAAATAGTGCCACAACTTCAATCATACTGGCCCCAGTATAGAGATCCTAATGGTTAACACTTGATCCAAGACTCGATTCGGTCTCGCATCTTTGTGTTAATATGTTAAATACTCATGTTGATCCAAATGGCAGCTCTGATCACATGGTGCATTATAATCATCACAGCAGAAAATTCCGTTTTTTGCAGTACGGTTCCTTGTTAATTGATGAAATGCCATAGTGCTGCCGGTGTTTGAGCTCTCACTCCATTTGCAGTCCTGTCTCCTAGAAATTATATATATTACTTATTTGAAACTTATTAGTTTTCCTGCAATATCTAATATTGTTGTACACTATGGGCTCTATCTTGCACTCAGCGCAATTGACTTTGTACACTGGCCCTTGTATAATTCCTATTTTGTACTCGACCCACATTGGAATTTTCCCTCCACCGACGCACGTCCTTAAATTAGGGAATGAACTTGCGCTCCGGAGGGCGGTTCAGTGAAAAGAGGAGGCGTGTTCCGGCGCAAACGTTCCCTGGTGCTATTTTGCTGTTTCAGAAAACAATTCCGCCACAGACCAGGAAAAACCTAGTCTAAAGTCAGTGGCGCTTATTCAGATGCTATTTTAGGGGCGCAGACTTGAGGGGATGCGCCTGAGAGGCAGCAGCAACATCGCCACCCGGTCAAGACGGGCATTAATACTGTGCTGCATCCCGGACAGCTCACGTTCCAGCATGTCTAACCCGGTTTGCTGCAGGAACGGCATGTAGTGGGTCTGGATCCTCTGCACCTTGGTGTTTGCACTGCTCCCTCCTTAGCTGGCCCTTGCGCACTGCTCGGCCCGTGCGCACTGCTCCCGAGGCCAGGGTCTTCTTCCTGCAAGCTGCGTTACATTGTTTTGATTTATTGTATGGCTGTGTTACATTTATTTCATGTCAATAATGTCACTTCTCTGTATTTCACGGCCCTGACGAGAAGGTCGGTCTCCTCGGCTGTGAACCGCTCCTGGCGTGCGCCTGGCAAATCCGCCGTTATAATAGCAATCCGCTAGGAACAAGCGCGCCTGCTTTTAAAGGGAATGTGAGATGACCACACCTATGACTAATGTAGCTACTTCAGACTAACACATTTTAGATTTGTGCCGGGTGCAAGAGTCATTTATCCCGCCGGCATACTGGCAACAGCGTCCGAGATCCGCCCACAAAGCTACTTGTGTTTTGCGTTTGATACTTGCGTTTCAGATCGGCAAGATAGGGCCCTCTATCTGCTTGCAGCAACCAAAGCATCATTGTACTAGGGCTGCCCCAGACTAAATATTTTTAGAGTCTGTATAAAGTACTATAAAGCCAATAGTCAACTAGTTGTTGCTCATTTAAGATATTGAATTAATTACATAAATATATATATTTTAACAGCCGCTTTTTAAATGATAAATCATTTCTTATAAAGTCACACAAGGTGCAACTCCTGAACGTACTTGAACGTTTTTGTTTTTCAGCAACTATCCGACTAATGAAAAGTGGGTCGAGTAAGACTTTTCGCAACGACTAACGAAGTCGACTATTTGGGGCAGTCCTAGACTTTTTTCATGATTATGTTTAGGCACACCCAGTACTTGGTAAAGCCCAAAACAGGACATGTTTACCTTATTATATTTACTTTATCATCATTTAACTAAAACTACAGTCTTTCCCCATCCTTAACCAAAGTGCATTTGTTACCATGGGGCGACTGTGCCTCAGGGGGTACAGTGGGTCGTCCACTAATTAGAAGGTTGATCCCTGCTGCATGTCGAAGTGTTCTTGTATCTTACTGAACCCCAAAATGCTCCCGATACTGTGCCATTGGTGTGGGAATTATTTATTTTCTGTTCTGATAAGCCTCTGCCATCAATGTATGAATGTGTGCGACTGAGTGAATATGGTACGTGGTGTAAAGCGCTTTGAGTGAGTGGAAGACTAGAAAGGTGCTATATAAGTACAGTCCCTTTACCATCCATTTACCTTTACCTAGCCGCTAGGGCTAGACCCAAATATTCAGATGTTTGTGAGATAGGTATTCAGTTTTCAATTCTGAGAGTGCCTTGCCCTGCCTCTTTCTGTTTCTCTTTCCCTACAGGGACAGACACATACAGGATAGTTAATTGATGGTGGTTGGCATCAGTCTCTTGGACGGTTAAAACATTTAAATTTAAAAACATCATACCACCGTCAAAGCTTAGAATATTCACTTTTGATCACTGCTAAATCTCTGGAGCCCAAAAAAAGGGTACTGGACAGCCCTCCTAACTACACTACAGACAGGACTCAGGATCCCGAGTCTTACGTAATATGGTAATTTCCCCCCCCGACCACCTCCCTACAAATTCTGTGCTGGAAATACAAGTAGCACTGTCATTCTATCAAAAAGACTTTATAATCAGAGGACAAAGCTTATGTGTCTGTGAAGTGAAGCCAACTTGGTAGTTTCCAAAACCTGTATTCTTTCTAATGGCCAGTAGGAAGCAGCTCCACTGGCTGCAAAACAAAACAAAACAAAACAAAAAGTCTGATTGAACTTAAAGAGAAATTACCCAACTTCTCTAAGTCTTCTTCCATACAGCCTGATCTTCAGTTTGTATATTAAGGTCAAATTTAGAGTAAAACGGACAATAGAGCAGGGTATGATTTAGGGCGTGGCTACGTTGTGATTGACAAGTCATTCACAATGAGTCCGTCCAGCTCAACGCACCGAACTCAGATCAAACTGTCAAACTAGTCAGTGCTGATCAAATATGAATCAATATTCTGTTACTGCGTTGCCTGTTTCTCTCCTCAAATCATTTCATAAACATATTTTAAAGTACTGTTTATCTGTAATGTAAGAACATGTGTGACCAGGCGAGCTGCCATTGCTTCCTGATATGGACAAGTGAAAGTAAGTGCAGGCTATGATCATAATGCCCAACTGAAGGCTTCAAAACGGTACTCCACAAATCAATGGGTGATGTCACGATAGGTTCACACTTGCATGGAGCATAATCCAAGAAGCAATTATGTTTTCTTTTGAACATATTTGGCTATACAACATAGTACTATATTAATGTAATTCTAGAAGACAGGGTTGTCTGGTTGGTAGTAGAGGGTCGATTTATCCTCAGTCCTATTTCAGACGGATGTGACCTCCTTGAGTTCCTTTTGGATCAAGTCTCTTTCACACTTTTACACATTATTTTTGGGTAGTGTTCCCACTAATCTTTTCTTCAGAACCGTGAAGACATTTTATCTTCAGTTTCTAAAGCCTTCTTGTTGCAGTAAGTTATTTTACATTTTCACTCATTTCATAGAAAAGTTAGTTTGTACAATCATTATGTTACTGTTGTCTGCTGTACTGTCTTGTCAGGTGCATCAGAAGTGAAGAATAAAAGTAAAATCCATGCTCATGACTTGGAGTGCATTCAGATCTTTCACTCGCAGCCTTGGACTATTGACCCACATTGCAGAGTGTGTGCTTTATAGTACTGTGTCAGCATAGTGCAGTATTGCCAGATGTCAAAAAAGCATATTGTCAGAAATCAAGCTCACTGTGAATATAACCTTCCAGACAAATGTACTTGTCCCCCATCTCTTTCTTTTATACGATGAATAAAAAGTTTTCCTTTCCTGGAAATGATGGATGACATACAGTATCGCCTTTCGAAAGACAAAAACAACACCCATGTACAAATTTTCATATCATCCCAAAGAATTTTCTGGCTGCTGTTTCCCACAGTGCGGCTCACAGGGAGCTCACACTCTTCAGCTCACCATCCAACTCAATAATGAACGCGGAGGCAGAATAGGTAAGAACATTAGCAAAATCTTCTTTTTTTCATCTGAGAACTGTGTGTGGGGGAGGGGGGGGTGACTGTCGGGATTCATTAGTCGGTGGCATCAGAAGCCATCTTGCTGTTCTCTTCATTACCAGTGCAGCACATGGCAGCAGTGTTTGAACAGCGCACAGCCGTCCTACGAGAAACAGCTGCCATTAACAGAGAAGAAGGAATATCTTGGCTTGCTAAATATCAAGCGATTCCAGTAGAAGGCCAAAGATTTGTATCCATCCATCTGGACGCCTCATTATCTACTCAGTTTGACCTCACTTTGTTTTGCTTAGTTTTACAGTTTGAAATCATTCAGAGCAACCCTAGGCATGAGTGTTTGGAATTACTTGAATAGGGGGAGAAAAACAGCTTGTCAGAAAGTTCTCTAACTCCATAAAGAACAAGTCTATTTTGTCCGAAGTATAAAATAATATTTCTCTTTTTAAGTTGTAGAACATGTTGGAATCTTATGAAGAGCAGACGTCTGTAATGGAGAGGATGTCCTCCCCTGCTCTGCCTGCATAAGTATTCTAACCTTTTTTCTTCGTGTTTGGAGTGCAGTAGTGGGTGCCACAATAGAGAGTGTAAAATTAATAATCATATTTCAGCATATTTCCAGGAAAATGCTTCATTCAGGCAGCCTGCTGGCTAAGCTTATTCCAGGCACCTGTGTAACTGCCTCTGAATTGCCTTACAGTGTAGAGAACAGCAGATTGCAGGATGGGTTTATCGCTTGTTGTTGATATAACAGCAGCAATACAAGGCCAGTCAGGGCAGCAATTCAAAACTGCATCAACTGAGGTTACGTCCGAGGTGACGGACAATCAAATGACGACGGAGCAGCAGTGGTTCCAACTGCTGTTTATTGGAAACTTCAGAGGATATTAAAACCGTCTAATCTAAATGGATCTTCTGCTGTCACGTCCCTGAGCCCCTGTCCCCACCCGT